CTTCTTTCACCCACGCGTCCATCCCCATGGTGATGAAAATGCGCCAATTATTTCTCATCCTTTTATGTAACGATTTGTGCCAATTCAGTACATTAGAATGCCTGTTTGCTAAAATTCTTGCTGACCTGACTAAATCTTCCGTCCATGAGAAATTTCTTGGTGACCTTTATTGGTGTTATTACTAAGGATGAATATTTGCTATGAAGAAATATTTATTTATTTTTAGAATAAAGTCATGTTAATTAATCTCTAGAATGTTTTTTTTAACATTAGCAAAGAAAAGAAAAAATAATGTTCAATTTCAAATGTTTGTTATTTTAATGAATTGTGTGAATTTTATTTTCATCTAGTTATCTAGTTACTTCATGAGTAAAATTGTGACTAGCTTGATTAATTGTTTTTTGCTGTATTACGACGAAGAATAAAATGGTAAATGTGCATGTTGACTATGTAATGGATACATCATAATAATCTGTATTTTTGTCTTCTATTCATTAATGTTTTTGTTTTTCGCAGAAAATACCCTATAAGTTAAGTATCTAGCAAAGCATAAATTTTATATTATATTCTTTTGAGTTTTTTGTTTAATTTTTTAGTTACTTTTATTTTGAAAAAAAATGTATTTCTTTCACATTAAAAGCATGTTTTGTTTCTTCATTTGAAAAAAAAAAGATAATAAAATAGCATGTTTGTTTTTGTATAAATTTAATTAGATTTTCACTTGAAAACAAAAAAATTATTATCAACTTTTTAAAAAGAATTTAATGTCAAGCAAATTAAATACTTAAAACAACTTTATCGTTATGTATTGTCAATTTGTTTTACAACATTTATTAACTCATTAATTAAAAATCACATGCATAATGTTTTTTAAAACTTAAACTACAATGCACAACTAAACTTATTATTTATTTACAAAATATATTTTTAATTTATAAAACTTAAGAATTTGTATATTTAGATATTTTTTACTAAAGGATGAGTATGTTATTGGGATTGATGAAAATGCGCCAATTATTTCTCATCCTTTTAACATACTCATCCTTTAGTAAAAAATATCTGAATTGGTCTAAAAAGTAAAGAAAATTGTTCGGGCTAGAGAGAGAACATATTTAATAATGTTTTGCAGTTATTCAATCGGTAGTAACGTGTGGGCTATTTGGATATGATCTTCTCGATATGTATGATGTTTTCTAGTAATGAATTTAATGGTCTTTCATTGTACGATACTAGTGTACGTGGGAAAGAATATATTGACTGTCAAGTGTGAATACTAACTACTTAAGAAGTTATTAGTTGTATGACATATTTAGATAATGAAATTTAGTATTGCTTTCACATTTGAGAAACCAACTAGTGGATTACTACATGTGCTTCGATTGAGCATTATTTTATAAAAAAAATTTAGTGGTGTACTTTCTTACAATATTACTACAATTAGGTTATGAAATGTGCCTTGATACTAGAATGGAAAATTTATAGGAGAAAATCCCAGGGAGTATTGTTGAGTGATATAAATTGAAGATTAAAGTATGAAAATGTGTATAAAATTGTGCTGGTCCCTTGAATTTGATTGGTACTAAGTTTAAGGTGTCAGCTCGAGGAAAAGATTCACTTTATGGTGATGACAAGGGCTAATTGAGCATGATGGTAAAAAAAATTCATGAGGAATTGTGATTGGGATGAAACTATATAATTAGGAATTGTTGGTTAAACTAAATATGCATGGTAATATAGACTTGTGAGTATCTAAGGTTGTGATTTTCTACTATTTAGTGGGTTATGTGGTTGTATGACAAGTTTTAGGAAAAGGTGGGGCACCGCTGAAATATAATTTAAAGGAGCTAGAGTCATAAAGAGAATGAAATAAAATTGGTGAGATGAGTGTAATCTTCGGAAAAAAATTAGAGTAACAATATTTAATCCAGTTAGAAAGACTTAAAAGGTATCTTCAATGGGATTTAGAATTAGGTTAGAGATGCGAAATTTTGACTGTTAAAGGATCTAAGGAAGTATTCCCCTCAGAGTTTTGATTTAGAGTGTGAAGCAAAATATCATGGGTTGTTGGTAAAAAAAGAATGAGATCGGTAAGAGAGCTAGAGAAGAAAGAGTCGGATATATTGAAGAGTCGATATTTTAGGAATTTTGTGTCATGAAAAAGAAAAATTAAGGAAAGTGAAGAAATAAGATCTCTCGTATAAATTCTTGGTTAGTAGTTGAAGGTTGTATTGATTTCTCATAAGATGTTAGATATGACCATAAAATGTGTTGCATAGACATTTGATAGTTAGTGGAGGTTACGTGCTCATTGTATATAAACTTATTTTGGTGATCAAGAATTTCTTAAGTGTTGCTAAAAGGAATATAATGGTTTGAATGGTAGTTGAAACTAGGTATATGAAAGATTGTGTAGAGTCGATATTGGTTGTGATTCAATATCTTTATCTCGATGGGGAATGTACTTTCAAATTTGAGATTAGTTCTATTAGCCTTGTTTGAAACTTGTATTTTTCATGAAATGCTTAAATAGAAAGAGAGATAGTCATACTTTGAACATGTACTTGATAAGAATACTTTGATACTAATGATGGTTAGAGAGTAAAGTTGATGATCGGTATGGTTATGATGTTTTGTTAGTATTAACAGAGATTAATTCAGTGGATGGGGGTACAATAAATCTATTATGTGTGCAACTTTTATAGCGACTAAATTTGTGATTTTGGGTAGCCAAAAAAAAGAGAAGTTTAAAGATAGAGGCACAGTTGAAAAAGGGAAAAACGAATTAAGATGGAGGGGACTACGCACAACAACAGTTATTCTCATGTTCTTTCTACAAATTGCTATATATTTTTTTGTATTAAATATTTATTTAGTTGTAATGTGATGAGGAGGTGTCGGTATAGTATAAGAACAAGTTGTGAGTGTTATAACTCTGAACGACATTAGATGACATTGAAAAATTGGTAAGATTAGTAAAAAATAAAAACAATTAAGGAAATTTAGTTCATAATTGAGGCTAATGATTGGAAAATTGTTGGTGGATATTGTATGGAAGGATAGACATGGAATGTTAGGTTGCAGCGGTGGTAGTGGTATGACTTTTTATTATATAACTATGTTTTTGGATGTTACCCAATGATTAACAAATCGTTGACTAATGATGTTATTTGGGTTATAGCATATGATTCATTTATGTTAAATGTTTTGTATGCTTGGGTGTATCACTCGATGGTGGTTACTTAATTATTTTCATATTTGGATTAGATGCGTTAGATTATTCTTGATGATAACTCATGACTAAAGATTATATTTTAATAGCTTAAGATCCTAAGGATGCAATATTGATAAAATCTATGATGGTTTGTGTATTATGAGTGTGGTGGCTGATTTAAGTTCATTCCTAATTGTAGCTAATATTGATTCAGAATTTTATCGTGATTATGTTAGATAATATTTGTTTTGATGGTTGTATCATGGTTTAGTTGGAGAATCATTCAATGAGTCCACTTGGAAATAGTTATGTTGTAAGTTGAGTTTACAAACAATAGAAGTTGTAATTAGATTATTGAGATGGCCCATTTGAGGCATTGTCTGAGAGAAGGCGTAGATGTTCAATTCGTTGGTTTGACACTTTTGATATGAGACCTTTCGTACTGATATTTTGAAGGAATATTTTTTGACACCTACCCTTTCTTACCATTCGAGGATGAACGATGGGTAAATCGGTATCTAATGTAACGATCCATTTAGTCGTTTTGAGTACTATAGATTTTATTGCATAAAGTCTCATTCGATAGATTTTGAATGAGCAAGTTGGACTATTTGTAATTTTAATTATGAAATTAGTGGGGTAGTTTTAATAATTATTTGGACAAGGGCCTAAAATACCCATAAAGTATTGAAAATGGTACAAAATTACCCTTCATACACCTATTGGCTGCAAAATGCCGTTTTTCATCCACCTATTTGCTCCAAAATACCCTTGACATTCACCTTTTTGTTCAAAATTAACAACTTCTTTAATTGTTTTAAAATTAAACTCTTTAAATATTTTTTAAAATAAATGGCGTTCAATTATTGATTATAATTATAAGTTATTAATATAATTTATAAACCAACCCACTATACACTCATTACTAACTAAACCTCACCCAATTAATTATCCAATTATAATATCAAAATCGTCATAAAGACTACTGAAACACAACGAAATAATAGATTTCTGAAAATGACATTCAAAATTATTCGAGTCCGAATCGGAGCTCCAATTAAATTTAGGTTGAGCCGCTTATTTAGGAGGACACTTTCTTTCAAAATAGAATTAGAAATTTATGATTAAAGGTAAAGAACTAATATATCCCGAATTGATTCATGCACTTTTTAAAAAAAATATAATTTTATAAATATTTATGATTTGTTTTAAAACTTTAATATATTATTTTGAAAAAAAGTTACCTATGAAGTAACATCACATAATTGAGACGTAAGAATAATTAAGATAAATATAGTCAGACTTTTATGTTTATTAGTGATTTTTATTTAATCACTTGAATATATGATAATTTACTTTGATAATTTTTAAAAACACTCAATTGGCAGTAGCTTGCATTAACAATGTGACGGGTTGATTAATTTAGAGGGATTTAGTTATTAATGGGGTGGGTAGTGGATTGATTTATAAATTATACTAATAAGTTAAATTAGAACATATAGTTGAGCACCACATATTTTAAAAAATATTTAAATAGCTTAAATATAAAACCGTTAAATAAGTGGTCAATTTTAAACCAAAAGGTGGATGACAAGGGTATTTTGGACCCAAATAGGTGGGTGAGAAGGGTATTTTGGAGCCAATAGGTGGATGGAGGGTAATTTTGTACGATTTCCAATACTTTGAGGATATTTTAGGCCCTTTTTCGATATTTATTTAGTTGGTGGTTAAATAAAATAATAGTACAATTAATAGTAGGTTAGTTTTTCCACTTGATAGTTTGTCTTATATAACAATTAGGTCGATAAATATTCTGTAGAATAAAAGAAAAAGAGATAAGATAGGGATAACGGAAGGCGGCACAATTGAAAGAGACGACATGATTGTGCAGGTAAAAGACACATATGTATCTTCAAATTTTATGAATAGTGTTGATAAGGAAATTATTGTTATTATAATTATATATTGATTGGGCGAAACTGGGGTGCACATAGTTGTAGTGAATATAGGATTGTTTCGTTTTGTTAGTGGTGAAAAAGATCAGAGAATTGGAAAAATACAAAATTCATGATGTAGTGATTGGTGAAGTTATAGGTAAAACTCAATCAGGTTCTAATTTCATGTCTTATAAATTGTGGAAGGATGTCATTAAATATTACAATTATTATTATTATTATATAGGGAACATATAGTAAAGGCATAGCAACAAATTGAAATAAGCTGCTAACATGCGTGGATTCTTCTTTTTTTTTTTGGTTTTTATTAATTTAGTGTTAATATTTAACTAAGGAGGAGAAGTGAACATAAAGTCTAATTTGCAGGGTCAATTTTTTTGTGTTGTTTGGTGGAAGACTAATTGGTTTATAATATTAAAATGGAACTCCATAATCATTGACAATTGAATAGTTATTACAATCCTTATATTATATAGATGGATTAGAGTTATTAGAGAGTGGAAATCCTCAATGATGCACATAATGTTAGTATCTGGTTATGATTTAAGTTTTAACATATTGAAAAAGGTAATTAAATATCAGGTGTATTGTACTGTACTTACAAAAGTTGTATATTTGATGGATTGGAAAGGATCGGAAATATTGAGGAAAGAAAAGTCATTGAAAAAGTAGTTTTCTTGAAATCGGTTCTTCGGTGAAGGTAGGTTATGGTTTATGCTATTTTATAGTAAACTTTTAATAGTGATTGATATTCATTGAATGATATTATTAAGTTTTCTTTGTACTTGATTTTGTGGTTGTGAGGCTTGGTTGTGTGTTTTGTGATTGATCTGGAATCCTGAGACCGTGAAGTTATATTCTTGAACTCTCTTTATCGAAGTGATGCCTTGAATAAAGAAGGTTTGATGAAATAATATAACAATAATTGAAAGTGGTGATAATAAAGGATAAGTTGACGGTCTTCTTGGATTGGAGTATCACGTTCTGACACGGTCTTCTTGGATCAGAGTGTCACGTTCCGACACGATACTTTTCGATCGTAGTGTCACATTCTGATACAGTATAATTGAATCGGAGTGTCACGTTTTTACATGACATAATTTGATCGGAGTGTAACGTTCAGACACAGCAACATTAAAGGAAAAGGATATTGAATTAATTTAATGTACTCAATCTCGAATAGCCCATTTCCCAATGAACGTGGTGTGGAGGCATGAGTCCTCGTATGTGCTTTATATTGTGATTGATTACGTACTTGTTTCAGTTGTCACTTGTTCATGTTATTTGTTGCTCATCACATATTAAGTATGATAGTTGATTTTATACTATTATTCTTTTTATATTAGTTACTATTTTGGCTTGACCGATGATACTTAGTCAGTACATGTTGCCTCGTACTGAGCCCTACATATATTTTTCTTTGTTTTCCTCATATAGAGTGCAACAAGCGTACCGATGAATTTGAATCTTCCTCACCTCTATCAAGTCTCGGCATATCAGGTTCAAGGGTGAGCTATTCATTCGAGGTTGAGTTCGATTCTCTTAGTCATTACCTGATGTCCTTAGTTTTTCGGACACAAATTACTTTATTTCATTTATTTTGGTGTCTTTGATACTCTTACACATAGTAATTGAAGATTAGATGTCCTTGTTGTGATGATTGGGAAAAGATATTTACTATGTTTTTGAGCTTCTGCATTATGCTTGTAGTTTATAAGTTGGGGTTAAATTCATTGGTTCTCCCACCTAGTGAGTTAAGTGTGGGTGCCACTCACGACTCGTTTTGGGTCGTGAAAGTTTTCTTGTAACAGCAGTACCTGATAGTATGATTAGATAAATATAAAAAATATGTTTTCATTTATAATTGGGAAAATACACAAGTACCCCTTAAACTATGATCGAAATTTCAGAGACACGCCTTAACTAAACTAAGGTCCCATTACCCACGAACCCATTTTTTGTTGTAATTTTGTGCTTCTTCTGGCTTATGTGGCATCCTATATCTCCCGCGTGCCTCAATTGTGTGGAGTCACGGAGTGTGCCACGTAAGACAAAATGTGTACAAAGTTACAAAATAAGTTTAATGGGGGGGGGGGGGGAAGGAGTAATAGGACCTTATTTTAGTTAAGGTGTGTCTCTTGAATTTCTGTCATAATCTAGGGTTACTAATGTCTTATCCCTTAATATTTTAAATTTTTAAATAGGATATTCACTTATTTCAATATGGTATTAGAACAAGTAAAAAGTCATCTATAAAAACTAAGTAAATAATGCATCAATTAAAAAAAATTAACTTGTAATTTCAATATATAGTTGCATAAATTCACTAAATATAATAACCATGCATGATTAATTAGCGTAGACTCAACCTCTAAATTGTTACTTATAAATTATGTTATCAAAAATCAATACGGATACCATATGAAGTAAATATACTCTTAGGTTGGTTAGGACATAAGATGTGAAATCATATTATGATATCAGAGTATTATTAGGAGTCGCATCGATAAATCACACATCTCTTTTATATAATGTTTTGTAATTAGGAACTTTCAAATATACATAATTTTATAAATATCTAGTAGTGGTAGTAGTAATTAGTTATTCATTAATTTAATTCTTTCCCATGGTAGAATAATCTCTTCACGTGGAGCATAAGTCCATTTTTATAAAATTCGAAGTGATGGTTTATATATTAACTTATAGATCAAGAGTTGCGTTAAAAAAATTAAATTAGGGTTTGAAAATAAAAATCATACTCTGTTGGATGGAGATGTTAGTCTCAAATCTCATGTCCAATTATTGATTTGAAATCAAGATGTCATAGTGTATGTCTAAATACAAGGTTAGAATAAAATAGTTGTATAACAAATATAATTTCACCTCTATTTTGATTACTCAATTAGAAGAATGTGAGTAGAAATAAGAGATTATGTCTACTAATGAGTAAAATTTTGGACTTGCAATTTGATGTCGCAATAAGAAATCACGAGATGAAATGAACGTTTGGACATGCGATTTTACGCTGATTGCATATCATGAGATTAAATATCAAATTCTCCAAAAATCATGACCTGAAAATTTTCAAATCCAAAGATAGACCAACAAATTTAAATTTTGTAAAAACAAATTACATCTATATCTACTAATAATTTATTTCATACGTATTATAAAATATATAATTCATACCATTACATTTTGTAATGACCCATTTGGTTGTTTTGAGTACTAGAGCTTTCTATGACATAAAATACTTTCTGAAAGGTTCTAAATAAATATTTTGGACTATTTGTAATTATAATTATTAAATTAGTGGGGTTGTTTTAATATTTTATTTAGTTGGTGGTTAAAGAAAATAACATTATAATTTACTGTAGTTCACTTTTAAGATTTATTTTATAACTATGTAATGACCCAAAATGTCATTTTTAATAATTCATCAATAGCCATTTAACTATCATTAATTTATTTGTGAGCATTTTTTTAACATTAATAATAATTGGCCAAGTCTAAAATATTAAAATAGTTTAGTAAACAAATTTTAACTTCTAGTACATAACAAATTAAAAAATAAAGAGAAGTGTTTGACAAGAGGAGTTGTGGTTCAGCGTCAATGAGAAAAGCGACCAACTTCTTCAGGTAAGTTTCTCACCAAAATCTCTAACTATGTAGTTATTCTAAATTAGGTGTACACTAATCATATTAACTGGAGGCAAAAGGACTTCAACTCTCAAATTTATTATTATTAAAATTATATGGACAAGGATTAGTGGACAATCGCATGCTTACCAATTGAACAACTAACGTATTGCAACTAATCATGGGTAGTTTTTGATGACAAATGTATAAGGTTATAATTTTCCATGTAATTGGTTAGAAGTTTCTGCCTTTGTATTTATTTTTTCTTTCGTGTCTTTGTAAATTGTGTTTATCTGTACTTTCAATTTTTCTCTTCTGACTATTAAGTTACGTTTTAGGTTTGGCAAGGTAAATCAAATCTAAGAATATCATATTATATGAATATCCTTAGATTTATCTAATTTGGAGAGACTCAAACTTAACCCTAGGTAAGAAATTTAAAAAAAATGAGAATTGATATATTAATTGACATCGTGGTCAGGAACTTGATTATAGAGTTGAATGAGTGTTTGGGTCTAGGCTAGACTTGTAGTGATATGGGTGTTGTTAGTTTAAAAATCTTACTGTGATTATTTATTTGAATAGATTGTATTGATATGGGAGTCAAACGAAAGAGGAAGGCTCAAGTTCTTGAATAATTGTTCGACTATTAGAGGCAAGTGGATATCTTAACTCTTGTTAAGTGTATGAAATGCGTGTATTTCGTTGTGGTATATGTTTTGGAGTAACAGGATTTGTGATGGGTTGACTTGTTCACATTGATTAACTCTAATGATGAAAAAAGGGTAACAAAAGACAATGTGATTAATTGTTTATGTTGGATGTGTTGAGAAACGTTTGAAGCTTGTTAAGTCATTGTTGATGTGATATTCTTTTTCGGTTGTTGTGCATTGTGCAATGTTATGAAAATGGTCATATCCTCTTTATTTGTGTGAACATGTCATTTACATTATTTTAAGACATAGTTGTTACAAGTGTTATGTGCATTGAGAAAGAATGAGAATTTAGGAAGGATGTACAATTTCGATGGACGTATCGCGCGCCATGATGGATTATTTATTTCGAGGGACGTATCGCATGCCATGATGGTTACTATTATCGAGGGTCGTGTCGTGTGCCGCGATAGATGCATGGACAGATATGTCTCCCATGGGTCCCGGACTGAGAGAAAGCGAGTGTGTATCACTAGGTCAGACATGCATCATTATACTTGACATTGCATTCCATTGCATTGGACATACTTATCATTTGTGAACTTGATATCGTGTTTTGTTGATCTTATGATTGCCTTTCTACGGAACTTATGATTGATCATTATTGAGCTTGTTATTGTGGATATATAATTTGTTAAACTGTTGTTGTTGAGGGTATGTAATTTGTCTATGTGTTGTTATTGAGCTATGTGCTTTGTAAACTATGAGCTTTTAGGTTGGGTTGATTTTTATGCAGGTTTTAGTTGTGGAGGTTTGGTTGGGGGTGGTAAGAGTACCCGTATTTCATCCCCTTAGCTTGTGTTTAGAGGTTTACTTGTTGAGTACCGTGTGGTTTGGTACTCACCCCTTGCTTCTTTTTGTAAGTTATGAGCCTGGATTTTTGTTATACTTTTCATTCTCTTCTTTTTTGTGGTTTCTTGGAGATTTGTGAGGTAACTGTTTCTATCTCAACAGACTTTCTTCCCCTTAATTATGATCTTGTTCTATTCTAGAAACAAATTAATTTGAGACGTAAGTTTTTCTTTTGAATCAATTTTAAAATTTTAGAGTCTTGTACACCCGACTACCAGGTTTTGGGATTTTTATTAAGTTACTTATATTATATTTTCTCACTTTATTGTAATGGTTGAGTTTAGGCTGACTTTTCTTGGTGGATAAGCCGAGTGCCATCACGTCCATTTTTGGTTCGTGACAAAATTGTATTTGAGCACCAGGTTCATAGGTCTCACGTGTGTACAAGTCGAGTCTAAGTAGACTCTCGAGGATCGGTACGGAGACGTCTGTACTTATCTTTGAGAGGCTATAGTGACTATTAAGAAAACTCTTCACTTTTTGAATCTCTCTCCTGCATCATTTGTCTTATTTTCATTCACATCGCTTCATTCTATTCTCTCTCACTTATGTGATAACTCATGCGTAGTTCTTCATGTGAGTAGTTGATGTCATCTATGATTTGAAGGTTAGATCCTGTATTACAATGAAAGTAATATAATTATGAAAAAAAGGTGTGGTTAGATTTAAAAAGTTCAACAATTTCAATGGGCTGTGTAAGATTAGTTACCCTAGTAAAGTGAATAGTTCTTGTGTGGTATAAACAATAATTAGATTGGTTAAACACTAAAAGTGAAATGATTAAAGGGAGAGCCAGATAATGGACAACTGATTTTGTAAACTGCAATTAGTAAATTTATCATAACATGAATGAGTTCCTTAGAAAATGGTGATAATAATGATGCATCAATTAAGGTTAGAATTTGTACCACAACAATATTGATGCTTACATTGTTAGAGTTATGGAGTGTGTTACTTTTGTTATTGACCTGATCTACAAAGGGATGTGAATAGCTTTGGATCAGAGGCCGAAAAGATTTGATAGTGTATGTTAGTTACTTAATGAGGCAGAAATGTGTAGGTTATTTGGGTACAATATTCTCGATAGGTACGATGTGTGTCCTAGTTGTGGATTTAACAGATTTCATAAGGTGATACTAATGGTACATGAAAACTGATATGTTGATGTCAAGTACGATTACAAACCACTTAAAGAGTTATCAATTATATCACATGTTCATATAATGAGATTCAATGTTGTATTCACATTTGAGAAACCAAATAGCTTATTAATATACACGAATGATTTAAGCATTATTCATAAGGAAGCTTTTAGTGGTGGATCGTTGATACAATATTAATGCTTTAAGATTAAAAGTTTATTCCAAGGATCCTTAATAAGGACGGTGATTTCTTTTTAAGGTCCAATGGAATAGATCGATACCAAAATTACGAGCTTATGGATAAACAAAATCCCAAAGAATATAGTTGTGTAAAGGTAATTGAAGATTTTAGTAGGAAGTGCATATAAAAGTGAGATAGTCCTTTGGATTTGATGAATATAACCGAGTTTTAGGTGTCTCATTGATGAAAATGTTGGCTTCATGATGATAATAAGATCTAATTGAGCATGATGGTAATAAGAGTTCGATATGGATTGTGATTGAGATGCTTCTATATAATAAAAATTGTTGGTTAAATGAATTTTTTATTACAATGGTGACTTGCGAGTATTTAAGGTTGAGGTTTGATACAGTTGAGTAGCTTAATTATATGAAAAGTTATAAGAGATGCTGAGACACCACTTGAATAAAATGGAAAGAAGCTAGAGTTATAAATGAAAAGAATTAGAGTAATGTAGTTTAGTCATTGGAAAGAGGTGCAAACAATAATATTTTATTCTGATTTCAAGGGCTAAGAAGGTATCTTCAGAGGAGTTGAAAGTTGGGTCCAGAGACATTTGTTTCCTTTATTTTGCTCTACTTATGATAACAATGTCACAAATTCATCATATTAGTTAAAAGCTATCGGATAAAATTTGTGAAAGAAGTTTATATACGTTAAGGCCGAGTGAGATGATAAGTTTTTTCTTTAGCGTGTGTCTTTTGAGTTTGGTAATAAGTACAGTTGAATTTTAGTGAAAGATATGATAAGGTCGATGGAGACGCGATCAATGATAAGCTAAGATACGTGAGTTCATAAAAATCTTCAAAGTATGAGCTAATGTTGATAGATAAAGGTATTTGGTTACACTGTTAAATTCAAAAAATTCAAGTTTTTCGTTGTGAAGATTTGTGGTAGTGTGTTTGTCAAGATATGGATTGATAAGGTAAGAAATGATTCATCACATTGAGTGTGAATTATTTGGGAACACTTAAAAATAATTTGAGTAGTAAATTTGGTTACTTTTGATTATTACACCTAAAAGGGGTTTTAGGTAATATTTTTATTGATTTAAAGAATAAGGTGAAAATATCATGGGTTATGGGTCAAATGATAAGATTGATAAGCAAGTCAGTGAAAGAACAAAAATCTTGTGTATTGAAGAGTTTAAGGTATAAAATTTGTGTCACTAGAAGAATTTAAGAGATGTGAAGGAATAAGACATGTAATATAGACTCTTGGTTTGAAGTTAAAAGATGTAAGGGTTTTCATATATAAATTACAATATTACTATGGATGTGAATTAGTTCAGTATGGAGAAATTTATCAACAATTTTTATGAATATTGGGTTTTCGTTTTGGGTGAAAAAATGTGAGGTCTGTAAGATTATGTGTTGTTATGTGGGGCTAAATTATTTAGTAGTAGATGAATTTTCATGGATATGCGATAGTATGGACCTATAATTATACAGGGTTATCAAGAATTTTTAGGAGATTGAAGCTACTACTTTTTTATAACATAGACTGTTATGATGTGCTACATGCGTATTTGATGGTGAGTAGGGATATTGAGCTTATACTATACAGAATTATTGAAGCTACTACTTTTTTATAACATAGACTGTTATGATGTGTTACATGCGTATTTGATGGTGAGTAGGGATATTGAGCTTATACTATACAGAATTATTGGAGTGACCAAGAATTTCTTTGACTTTTGGCATGAGATAAGTACATGATGGTAGAATGGTAGTTGCGAAATAGTATTTGAAAGTTTACATGAAGTTGACATTTAGTGTGATTCAAATATCGTACCTCGATGGGAAAGTACTTTAGATTTGAAATTAGTGCTATCTGTCTCGGGTGTGACTTAGAGTCATATTTTGAATTTTCTTAGAGGTGACAATGGATTTATAAGAATGATAATGTAGTTATGATGTTTGTTGGTATTTAGAGTGTGTTAGCTTCAGTGGGATACTTTGAGAAGTATGTGGGAGTTGATGAATTTAGTATTTGTAATATTGTGATGGAGATCAATTGATTGGTTGTGGGTGGCTAAAATCATATAGATTGAGTCAGATGAATGAAATTTTATTGATATGGACACTATGGAAAGAGTATATTGTGTTATTCAAACTTTCTTCTATATATTCTTCTGTGAAAACCTTCTTCATTATTGACATGGTTTTAGCATAATTCACGTACATGTTTCACTTTTATGGGTGTATCCCTAGTGGTGGATCAGATGTACCTATCTTCTTATGTCCTCTTTGATAGGGTAGGTTCTTTAGGCAGACTTGGTTATTTCAATTATGATAGATTTGATGTTGTTTGGGATAGTTAAAGTAGACCACTATATCTACCTACACAACCTTGCTTATGAGAACTTATGGAAGAGCTTCTACGAAATATTTACAGTTAGCTGAAAGTGTTGTTAGAGATTTTGCATTTTGGAGTGTATCGTTTGTTGGATGTTTACTTTATTTTGTTCTTCTTTGGGTTAGATAAGTTTGGTTCTCCCTTGATGAATATATGATGCCTAAAGGTCAAATTCCTATAAATTAATCTCGGGAAAAGATCATGTTTTGAGAAGAGAATTTTGACAAGATTTGTGATGATTTGTGAATTATGCGTGTTTGATGGTTTGTTCAGGTTCACTTCTGATTGTTGTAAGTACTGATTCAGGATTTCATCATGGTTATCTGTGAAATATTCGACTTAGTTAATGTG